GACTAAATAATAAAACAATAATGACATAAATAATCTTGGATTAAATCATTATTCCATTTCTCTCAGAAAAATTGACAGAAATTATAGTAAGCCTTTAAATTGTGGCAGTTTTAGAAAAAAAGGCGTCTTCATTATAATAGGAAGTTGCAGAAAATCCTAGTACTCTGGGTAATAAGGACTAAAGAGGTTATAATAGAGTCCTAATACGACAAATTATGCTATACGGTCAGCTGCATAAATGTATACATTTACAAATATTTACAAACTTGTATGGGCCTTCTGTTTCAAAAATACTTATGCACATATTCTTAGATATATATTTATGGTCGGAATCATACAGAGAAATATACGCATGCATAATTTTGAAATTAAATGCGTATACAAGTTTTAAAGTTTAGCAAATGTATTTTTATGCAGCTGACTGTACCTAAGACTCCGGCGAAAATATGATCCAAATGATACTCTTCAAAATTAAGTTAAGCTTAAGCTCAAAATCGATCATGTCATTCTGGTAATAAAAACATATCCGCGAAAAATTTTTACTATCTTGTCAGTTGGGTGAAATAATATTGTGTGCTTACTGTACGAAGCCAGGTTAAGACCCTAGTCATGTAATCGATACCCTGCGTTCTCCATTGACTTAAGTGGAGTTCGGATTTAAAAATAAACATCTCAGTGAGCGCATCGAAACTTTATCGAAACATATATTTCCGTCAATTAACATAAATAAAGAAGTGCAGTTTTAGTTTACGATTTATTAACTTTATCTTTTCCGTCGGAATAAAAATAGGAAAATTAAATTCTGGTGTATTTAAGATTTTAACCAAATTACTCATCACGTTGCAAACAACGCAAAAATAAATCGTGTTCCATTCAGTAATGGAATGCTAAAGTTAGAAAAGTTAGTGGGTAGATTAAACCGTCAAACGGACGAAAATATGCTGTATTTGAGTAGAGACCTAGATCGTGGTAGAGTCAGCAACAACATCTGCACGAGTCATGGATATACTACGACCACACAGAAGACGTAGAAGTTGTAGTAGTAATTCTTAGTCTCGTCTGACGAGCGTGCATGCTGGAGGCCTCATTTTGATAATTTTCCCTATCAACTTTTTTTCTTCTAAGGTAGGGATAGGAGGGTGATGAGAGTTTCTTAGAGCAAAGGACGCATAGAAAGAGAAATGTTCTCATTCTGTGCATCCCTCTGGCTAATATAGATTGCCAACGCATCTGCAAATGTGGATGTCTATAAGCAGCGATCACTTCGCTGTTTTAGGTGGCCGCTTACAATTGGCACTTTATACTTTAAAAAAAATGCTGTTACTGTACTGGTATCGACTGGTTTGACACGTGTTTGAAACCCATATTGTTATATCTCTTTATTCAAAGAGAATGTGGGAGATGATAATCATGTCAAAACATGTTTCATACAGAATTGTACAATTACTAAGTATTTATTTCGTGTTGATGAAAATTTATACTTCCCACAGACAAAGCCGCGTGGATTATTTATGGAAAAGTTTTCGATTATTCGTTCACTAATTAGCGTGGATATGGGATCAGCAATTTGTATAATTACACGTGTGTTTATTTCGTAATCAGCATTAATTCGTGATCGGTTGATTAATGATCAAATTAGATTAATTAGCTACCGTAATGAATTGTGTTACTATTAGTGTGAAAATATACAAAAAATTACTTTTAGGGCGTCGGTGGCTCAGGGGTTAAGAACTTGACTTGTAATCTGCAGATCCTTGGTTCGAATCCCACCATGTAACAATGTGTTTTTCGATTTACATATGTACATGTATCCGACGTTCTTACGTTGAAGGAAAACATCGTAATGCAATCTGCACATATCTGCGAAGAAATTTAAAGAACGAATCAACAAACCTGTACTGGGTCAGCTTGGTCGACTATGGCCAGCTGTTAGGGTAGGCTTCGAGCATCTCAGTGGGGGCCGTATCGTGGTCTAGTACGTAGTCTACGTGGGAAAGTAATCATCTTCGTAGCTGACGAAGATGATTACTTTTATAAAAGCGCCTGACAATAGATAATATCAAAATGACTGGAGAGTCTTTGCTAATCGAAAACCCTATTTAACTATTAAGTTATAAAAGTTGATCACAGTTATTAAAAATTCAAACTTCTAAGTAGCTTTTAACGCTTCATCAATTTAAACGTTTATTTTTTTTAACTTATTCCAAGACCACGTCTCCACTAAGCTTCCTAAGCTATCAATTTTTATCGCTTTCGTCAATTTAAGTGCGCTCCAACATTTACTTTGAAAGTTTTCCAATGAATAGAGAAAATAAGTTTAATGAACGGTAAAATGTGATTTATTTACGTAGTTCAAATACTACAAAGTTCTTACTAAAATTTTTGATAGGAGTAATTTTTCAATGGTAAAATTAGTTTTTTTTTCTTTGCATTTTATAAGCTTTTATTTAGTTTTATCTGTGTTAATATTTGTCTTTAATTCGTCCGCTTATAGTGACCGAATGAATTAAATAAAGGAGCTTCATTTATTTAATTAAATCGTTTATAGTAACTTGGTTAAGAAATTGAAGTTAAACGTTTTATTCCTTCACAAACTAAAACAAAAAAGTAATAAATCCATCGAAATAAAGTTGTAGTTATATTAAATTGTTTGACGGCACAATTTAATGCGGTAAAGATTCAACTTTGCGGCAAATTGCAAATTTACAATCTTTCGTTTCACAGAAATCACTTTATATTCGAATCATAGACGAAGAGTAAGTTTCATTTGAAAAAAAAAAGTTGGCCATATTTTCAATAGACTAGCTGTCGGACCACGGCTCTGTCTGCGCGGAATTGAAATAAAACTTTATTAGCAGCCAACGTGTTCTTCCAGGCTATGTTCATCTATGCCAAATTTCAGCCATTCTGGAGATACCCTCTAACAAACATCCATCCATCCATACATCCCGAATACCGATCACGTGGTCGAGAGTTGGAATGCCATAATTCGACTATTGTCGTCAACCATATCCTAGCACAAGCAAAGAGCTTAGTTGGAATGGTACAAGAAATATAAGTAATTTAACAATCATTTGCTTATATCTTCCTAATATTATAAATGCGAATGTTTAGATGGATTAATGGATGTTTGTTTGAAGTTATCTTCAGGACGACTGAACAGATCCCTATGAAATATGACATATATATAGATTATAGTCTGGAAGAACACATATGCTACTTTATATTTCTTTTTAATTCCGCGCAGATGGAGTTGCTAGCGACGGCTAGTTTAAGATAAAAGAATTAAGCACTGTTTCAATTGATTTGTAACTGGCCTGTTGGTAATTATTACAAGCTATATATTCGTAAAGGAGTAATAAAATAACAATATTATTGTTTCACTACTGTTACAATATAATGGTCAATAAAATTGTATCTAACGATCGTAAAACGACCATAACTCTCATATTGCTTTACAATAACTCACTTTAGGACGCGCTGTTAAAATATCATAAATCAAAGATTATGATGTATTTATCTTATCATAGACTAGTCATAGATAATAAAATGTGTCATAGACTAACACCATTAAAGCTTGATCGACCTTGATTGGGGGAAGCCCTATTTATAATGGTGGCACCATCCAAGGTCGATTTTAAACATGATAATTCTAGCTTAAAATGTAGTAGAATAAAACCTATTTTCATTTCAAAATCTAATAAAATGACCTCCTTTTGGTTTAGGTGAATGTATAGACATGAGTTTTAACTACCTAAACATCTGTCATTTTGTTTTTAAAAACATATGTTATACCAACTTATATTTTAAATTTTAAGTTGTGGACGCCGGTAACAACATCTGTTGCACGAATACGTCGATCGACGAACTTTTCTTACAAGCAAAAGATGAGAATGGAAAGTAAATTTAATGGAGAAGGGGACGTATGGGTAGGGGAAATCTTTCTGTGCGCTTTTCATCAGTCGATGAAGGTTAGCAGTGATAGCTATTTCGGCGGATTTAGGTGACCACTTGCACGTTTGCTACTTTATAATATAAAAAATTAACGTACATGTGTTTCAACAGTAGATGCGTACGGTACATAAAATCTATAAATACGATGAGTAAACAAACACTAAAACTGCGAACAATTGTCCTTGTAACATTTTAAAGTGTACCAACGAGTCAATACTGAGATGAAGTCTAACATTTCTTAGAAAAACATATTCAATATAAACATTCTTAGATTTACTGTTGTCTGTAGTTTAGCGATGCCACTGGATTGTGTTCATATATATCTTCTCAAACTCTCACAAAACAGTTTTTAAAAACATGTATAACCAATATTGTTTTCAGAACATATTTATCTTAAGAGTAAATATTTTTATTACAAGGATATGTTCTGGTAAGAGGCGCTGCTATCGCGGTTAGGTTTGTCAGTATATAAAACCTTTTTTGACATAGAAAATGACATAAAAGATAAAATGTGACATGACTGCTACAGCACAGATGATCTTGACATTTTGACATTGACAGGTGGGCGGGAGGAGCTGTCATAATTTAGTTCGATTTATGCCTACCGTGTCATAACATCTGCAACTTCATATAATCTATTGCATCGCAATTTTAAGTGAAAATTTTCCAATCTATATATATAAAAGAAAGTCGTGTTAGTTACACTATTTATAACTCAAGAACGGCTTTACCGATATGGCTGAAAATTGGTGAGAAGGTAGCTTAGAGCCAGGAGACGGACATAGGATACTATTTATCCTTTTTTTTCGAATGAAGAGCTGCTTTTAATTTAACCTACTAATATTATAAATGCGAATGTTTAAATGGATGTGATGTGGATGGGTGTTTGAAGATATCTCTAGAACGGCTGAACAGATCTCCATTAAATTTGGCATACGTATAGAACATAGTCTGAAAGAACACATCGGCTACAGTAATTAAGTTATTTTTAGATATCTACGCGGACGGAGTCGCGGGCGACAGCTAGTTAGTAATAAAAGAGAAAGAAATTTTCATCAATATACTTAGGACAATATTCGAAATTACAAATTACATTTTTGTCATAACTTAGTTACAATTAAAACTGTTAACACAATTTAGATTTCAACAAGCCATTGCACAATAAAGAAGTTGTAAACAAACGCTGCACAGAAATATTAATACGTAACAAATGCCATTTAATATGTCACATATGCAGAGTAAAAGGGAAGATATCACACCGAAAAATGACATATTTAAGTTGAGTTTTTCTGGTTGTGGGGCCATCATTCTGCATGGCTCCGATTTAGCTAAAAATAAAGTGTGGAATCAATAATTTATTCCATAAAATAACTAAGAAAACTAGATCAGTTGGTTACAAATTTGAAGAAAAAAACCCTAAAGACAACAGTCCAATGACACTCTCAAAATCGGTTTATCGTGGATTTCTGAGAACAAAATCTTACTTATAATATTATAAATGCGAATGTTTAGATGGATGGATGGATGGACGTTTGTTTGAAAGTATCTTCCACAACGACTGAACGGATCTCGATGAAATTTGGCATACATATAGAACATAGTCTGGAAGAACATTTGCTATTAAAAATTATTGAACTTTTAAAAACGTAAAGTAAAAAGTTGAACTTTTTTAATAGTTATTTATTAATTTAAAAACTTACTTCTTCCGAGTCCGAAAACCATTTTGTATTTTACACTGAGAATTTATATTCCAAAATAACTACGATAATTTAGTTCTTACGATGTTTGCCGAAAATTTTGTTGAAGACTTGTCAATAATATTTTTCTTTTGTTTCAACCAAAGAGTATTTTATAGTCTTCTTTCTTAGTTTCTATTAAACCAGATTTTTATAAAAAGGATTAATGAAATTCTCCATGACATTGATGTTTTTTTTCTGAGGGAAATATTCTCATTAAGTACTAGCTCTGAACTTCAGTCTGTGAAGTTTTTTTTTAAATATTATATGCTGGCAAATAAGCAAGCGGACACCTGGTTTCGCCGAAACGGCGAAGCGACCCCTACCCATAGACCGTTGCCTACTTTTAATCGACGGAGGAGGAGACGCATAGAAAGAGAAAGTTTCCGTTCATATGCGTCCCCTCTTCCATCATATCCACTTCTAACAAGGAAAGGTTGGGAAGGGAAAGAATACTTAAATTAGCTAATTTTTAGCAAATTCAGATGGACGCTTGATTGCTTGTGACCTACAAGAAAATGTAATGATTTAAAGTTTATATTACCTTTAAATTAAAACATAAAACTCTTCACTATAAGGATTATTTTAGTATTACTTTAAGAACACTAATATTGCTCTAAGTATGCAATAAACTTTATATATTTCATATTTTATCGGACGACGTCAGCGTTGGGAATTTCATAATTAAAAATTACTCAAAACTTTAATACGTTAACTTATTTTTACTAGCTCTTTAGCTTATTAGCTGAGCTGGCTTAATCATTAAGTTTTATTATTTAGGTACTTGCTTTTGACTCCGTCCATGCGGAATTTAAAAAAAAACTTAATAATTTAGGCATTACTAATTAGAATAATTTGGCGCGAATGACGTGCTTTCGTTACAAAGTCCAGTGTCAGAGTGATTAGTGAGGGGACATAAACGTCGACATTTTAGTAAGACTAGTGTTGGGTAAATACACTCCCACATTTTCGGATTTTCTTCCTAATAAGTAGCTTTGTTCTTCCAGACTTTGCTTTACTTGTATATTTTTCATCGATATCGATGCAGCCGTTCTGGTGATAACTATAAGCTTGGATAGATGGATGTTTTAACAAACAAATATTTATTTATGCATGGGTCAAGTTTTGTTGTTGTTCAATTACGCCGTCGAAAGCTTTGATAAACACATGGCGATTCAGATTTAAATCCGTTTAAAAATATATTTCTTTTTCTATAGATAATTAAATTAATACGTGGTATAAATAATGATCATGACATTTTGATATGAAAGTGTATTTTTAATTATTAAAAACGTAATGTTATCATAAATATATTCACAATTATTTACTGAGCCTAGAGAAAAGAGCTATCTACTATCCAAAAATGTTTACAGATTTGTGCTACACTATGTTATCAAACTATTACTCTTTCAAATTTGAGCTTCGGCATAGTTATTTTAAATTATTTCTTAGTGAGTATATCGAAGTCCTATTTCATACTGAGATTTTTTTTGGAACTTACGATATTTCGTATTTACAACGCCATCTATTAGAAAATCATGAAACCAATAATATATACATGCAGATACATACACAAATATTAAAAAAATATGACGAGGTAGAAACCATAACGATCCTTACGCTTCTTCTAGTATATTTTAATTTAATATATCACTCCATATAATAATCTCTCTTCTCTTTGACTTTTTAAATCAACAAAATGAAAAATAAAAAGAAAAACCATGTTATTTCTTAACCTTCTTGAACATGTCATGTACATAAAAATATAATAAAAGCACTCCTTTTTAGGAAAAGCTCTTAAGTGTCAGTATGAAAAGCTTGGAGCATTCGTAAATACATCGAGATTTATTAAAATTTCAACTCATCTCAACTGAGAAGGCAAGTACAGGTGTCATGAAGTATATCAAAACAAAAATGCACCCTATGTAGTTGTAATAAGATTGATATTAAAATATATTTGGTTGCTTGACATAAATTTATTCATTTGGGTCATATCTTTTTGGTGATTTTTAGAAGAATGTCTTAAATAATTATGGCATGTTTAATGAAAGTAATATTTTGTAATATACGCGTCAGGAGTATCAAATTAGCTAGTTTTTACTTCAACGTGGATGTCTGAATATACGAGTAAGATTTAAATTTTACTAGTACAAAGCCTAACATTTTATAATAAAATACGTTCCTTCTAAAATTTATGCTGCTTTTTTCAAGTTCCCTTCACGTTATCCTACTTTAATAAAATTACTATTATACTTTTTTCTTTTTCACAATATTATAAATCCGAATGTTTGGATGGATGGATGTTTGTTTGAAGGTATCTCCAGAACGACTGGATGGATTTCGATGAAATTTGGCATGGATGTAGAAAATTCTGGAAGAACACATAGGCTGATAATTAAGTTTTTTTCAATTCCGAGGCAGAGACAGAGTCGCGGATTGTCATCCGTAGTAAGAAGTACATTATATATGGTTACCATTTATAATGTAAGCTACATATGTTTACAGTGTTCAAATAGATGGAGGCTACTGAGTCCATAGAAACAAAAAAAATATTGAGTCGATTTTCCCGCTATACTTTTTACATATATAAAATATTTTAGTGAACTTACAAACAATATTGCTAAAAATGTATACCAAAAAAAACCTCCCCATTTAATTTGATTACTAAAACAGTCTCGAACAACACAAACGAATTAAATCCGCGGCCGCAATTTGAATGGGTTTTGAATAAAAAAGTAATTCTCGTTGCTAAACGAAACCCTTTCCTACCACAGCACAATACGGTCGACAGATTGTAACTCATTGTGAAAGATATTCACAGATTTTCAATTAAATATTATCTCTTTTAATCGCTTATACTTTTACAACTGTTGCTTTAATAAACGTTTAACCGTTAGTTCACAAACCACCATCTGGTTAAAATTTAAGGTAATTTAAAAAATAATCAACCGAAGTGAATGTTACTAAGTGGAAGCATAGTCTGATGAGTGTGCGTCCCGGAGGCTTAATTTAGTCCTCTTTTCCTTCCCCCTTTTTTCTTATAAGGAAAGCATGGGAAGTGGAAGTGGACTTTCAGGATGAGAGGATGCATGAAAAGGGAAAATATTTTCTTTCTGTGCATCCTCTCCTCCGTCGATTAAAGGTGGGCAAAGCATATGCAATTGCGTATAACTCTGGGCAACGGTCACTTCGCTATTTCAGCGATTTCAGGTGGCCGCTCGCTTGTTTGCCACCTTATGATATAAAAAATCTATACTCTATGTATCATTTATTGTGCTTTTTTGGTATTACTTAATTTAAGAAAACGAAATTTATAAAATCGCGTAAACTTTGTTTCCCTAGAGGATAACGTTGAATGATCTTTTCGAGATTCTCAAATGGGCGAGATTTATGTTCAATTATTGTGAGTTACTGGGTTGAACATTGTTATTTACTAGCAGGCTTAATTCTTATTCATTTAGTTAATTAATAAGGCACCAAAGTTAAAATATTTTATAAAAACTGTCTTAATTATCTAAGCAGTCAAGGAGGATTCAAAAGAAATATGACCTTGAAGTTATTTAAAAAATATTCGAAAAAAATATATTTCGCTATTAGGGATAATTTGGCATTGGAGAATTAAGGTGATGCCCTTTGATACACTCATCGTCAGCTCACTATACGTCCCCACTGAGGAGCTCGGAGCCTACCCTAAATCGAGGGAAACTAGGCCTTAGTCAAACACGCTGGCCCAGTGCGGGTTGGTTGTCCTCACTCATATCTTTGAATTTCTTCTCAGATATGTGCAGGCATCACGATGTTTTCCTTCACCGTAATAACGTCAGAATAAATCGAAAATCACATTGATACATAGCGGGATTCGAACCCAGGACCTGCAGATTGCAAGTCAAGTGCGTAATCCACTGAGCCACTGACGCTCAGCCAACCTTTGACACACACTCTTGTTAATTAAAGAAAACGCATCGGCAAATGTTTTTGTTCCTATTTTTTCGAATTTCGTTATCTAATTGTTTGCTTTTACTTACCTATTACTAAAAATAAGTGTCTCTATAGTCCCCTTTTTAAAACTTGAGCTGTAAAAATCACCTTATAAAATGCTCTATGTTCTTCCAAAGAGAATAAAAATAGAGGAAATCGGCAATGGAACAGATTTGAAATTAAATTCTCTTGCAAAAAGTTTTTAAATTAAAAAAAGTAACTAAAAAGTTTTTCACAATAAAGCACTTAGCTCTTAAATTACTGAATTTTACTTCATTAAGGCGATTATTTCACTTTCGAACGAATCAATTTGCATTATAAATACGATTAAAGGCGTCTAAACTATTTGTTAAATAAACGAGAGATGTTTAAATTAGCATTGGAAATTGTGTTTTAAAATTCAAATATCGCGTTCGTTTCGTTCAAGATAATATCGACTATATTAGCTTATATTTAAAAGCACTAACTGTTAATTTCTGAGACTCAAACTATATAGAACACATCACCTCTTTGACAAAACCGAGATAACAATGTTTTAAATAGGATTAAAATCAGTGCTTGTCGAGAGAGCTCTGTATATGCGTACGAAGAATTTTTTCAATGATTTTTTTTAATCGCTCTTTGACCTGTAATTTAAATATAACCAATAAATATTGTATTGTATTGTAGGGATTTTTGTCTCAGAAACCCACGGTAAGTGGTATAAATATACGAACAATCAATTATAAAAAACCACACTTTTAGTGAAATATCAATTGTAGGCATCCAAATGAATAGGAATAATCAATTTTTATAAATATTTCTAGCTGTCGCCCGCGACTTCGTCTGCGTGGAATGAAAAAAAAAGTAATTAGATCCCTGCAATTATTCGATTTCTCACCTTTTAAGCCTTCTCTAGACCTCCACGAACATTTCAAGACTAATATAAGATAATTCCGTTCAGCCGTTCTCGAGTTTTAGCGAGACTAACGAACAGCAATTGAAGAACTTTGAAGTATAAGGGTGAGTTGCATCAACTAACTGTAACTATACCCAGCGCCTTGACATCGGTTAAATCTACGATTACGCAAAAAATTATTGCACCATCTTAACGATCGTTAAATTGACGTCAT